TCACACCAAGAAAGCCAAAAATTGAAAGCTGCAGTTTTGTAGTGCATGATAATTTATGGAAAAAGTAACCAACAAAATGCTCAATATTTCCGATAGAGTACAAAACCTACACAGCGAACGACAAAGGGTTCCGGTCAGTAAAATTTGATTTTACGTAATTAATGCTTTGATTCAATTCAATCGCGACGTGTATTCAAACAAATACTACCACCCCTACTTAAAAAAAACGTATTTTAACTAAATGCGCGATTTTCGTGGTTGCAGAAGAATATACACGCGATATTTAATGCAATGTCATTTAACATAATAGGAACTTCATTATTCTTTGCCAGAAGTTTGTGTCGCCGTATTTTGAATTAAATTTCTTCGAGTACTTTAAAGGGGAGACGTGGCATTCTCCTGAGAGCTCCAAGCTTTTTCCTGTAGCTCTTACATAGTTTATCGGTGTGAGGTGACCGGACAATTTGTTGTCAATTTCCACGCCTAAGAGTTTACGAAATAGAATTTTACACCCCCCTGGAGTTTACGAAATAGAATTGATTTTAATATGTTAGGTCTTCTTTTTAGATGCAAACATTGTAAATTAGTAACGCAGGTCCACATTAGCCAACGGCTGCCAGTTTTTTTAACCTGCGAGACCAAATAACGTATGTATGTATGTATGTATGTATGTATGTATGTATGTATGTACGTATGTATTTATGTATGTATGTATGTATGTATGTATGTGTGTATGTATGTTTGTATGTATGTATGTGTGTCTGTATGTAAAGCTGTTTATGATTGTCCTTGAAAACGTAACTCAGCCCTAGTTTCGCCACTGCTTTTGATGCCACCTGACTCGTTAGCTTTACATTGCCAGAAATACTTCACGACAACGCTGTCATGCGAGTGCATTTCGTCCATGATCCCCTCTGCCTCTCGAGTATCACATACTCAGTGCTGATGGCACTATCTATATAACTTCGTAGCAGCTCGATGAATAAAACGCCATCTCCGTTCCTGAGCCATTTCTTGTTTTACCTTGTTCGTCATAGGGTTAGATTCAACGATTCGAGGAAAATACCTCAATGAACCCATACGCTCTCGATCAAAATGACTACTTCGGAGCTCGAAGCGTGGAAATGAGAACTAAAATAGAAATTTCCTCCATTCAAAAAGCTTCCAAGCGCGTCTGAATATCCCATATATTTAGGCGGAGTAATTGAGGTGTGTTGGGTTTCAGGCTACTCAGCGATTACAGTCCGTCTCATTTCTGTTGAGAGACTCCTCGGACACTGAAACACTTATGGGGTAAGATTACGGCAAACTACAAGTACATAGAGCATCTCATTCAAATGTTGCTGATGCATGGATGGTATATGGCAGAGATGGACCGTGAGTGTGTAGAGGAACTTCTTATACAAGAGAGCAGCTTTAATAAATATAATCTACCGGAAGGCAAGCCATAGCATACTAGAAAGTAGTCTATGAGGTTGTCTACTCCTTTCAATAGTTACCGCGCTCAAAATAACCGGCTGACGATCTACAAGAGGAAGCACCACATTTCGAGAGGTTGTGAGAAAGCTAACAACGCTACAATAAACAACAGCCCCGTCCGTAGTAATCCCCACGTGGAAGCCTTCACAGTGTTTCTAAGAGTGCTGTTTAGTATTGTAACTTATGTTACTTTTAGTATATTTTGTAGTGTTAGTAAAGTAAGTAAAATTAGTGCTGTAAGTATTGTCACTATATATTGTAAGTAGTATTAGTTGACGAAAGTAATGTTTGTTTTTTGTAAGAAATGTAAGAACATCAGAAATGCCAGTATTGTTAGCATTATAAGTAAGGTACGCGAGTAATAATGCAACAGTGGAAACTTGTAACTTTATTGTCCCTAATACGATAAATGAATGAGCACCCACGCTGAAATAAGCGCCCACCCCTTGGCTAAAATGTTAAATGAGCGCGCATCTCAATTATGCACTCCCCCTCACTTTCTCAAATTGGTAGAGATACAAAAAAAAACCTGTATCTCTTGCCAATTTATTTCAGTATAACTTTTTGAACTTTAACTAAGCGGAAACACTGAAGGGAAACGGTTTCTTTTCCGTTCCAGTCATTTCTATCTCCATGCGCTTGCACAGTTCCTATATGTACGTTAACTGTTTCGTTTCTTTAATTTTTATCCTTTTGCTGCGCTCTTGGTAAATGCCGTTAACTTCTTTGGGACAAATAAACCATTCTGGAGGACCAGTATTTTCCACAACTATAAAGTTAATGGATGCATTTGAAGAAAACAGTCGATATGGAATTAAAGCTCAATCGAAATGTGACTAACAAGCTTTGAAATATCAGTCCCATGCACACGCTTCACTTTGTAAGTTCCGATTTCTTTGTCGTCATACTTGGCTTCCGGCTCTGTCATCTTTGAATCAAATAATTAAGTCTTTCCCCTTTTGTTTTTGAACAAACGAAAGATATTAATATTGACTTAACATCTACGTGGATAATGTTGTAGTTGTTTGTTATTCTATTTAAGATTCAGCCAAAATAAAATTACACTTCGTTGAGAGGGAAACTTAATAATTGTCCCCCTCAATTTAGCGCCCCTCGTTTCAGTCGAAATTCTGAATAAGCGCCCACGCGTAATCGAAGAAATACGGTAGGTTTAATATTACTTTATTATTAGATAAATATGGATTTACCAATTCCTCTAGTTGATATATTTTGAACAGTCCAAAGCGTGAGATAATGAAACTGACCAACCTCTTATAAGATCTCAGCAATTACCAACAACCTACGAATGTACTGAAAATAAGCTTCGGAGAAAATTTTGCAATTCTAACGACTGAACTCACAGCTGCAATGGATATCTATTTTCCGTCCCGATCTGTGAGTATTCGTATACAAGACAAACCCTGGATTACTGGGAACTGAAATTGAAATATTATATTTCTAAACGCCAACAAGCTTTTACCAGGTTTGGCAAGGACTCGGATGTTTATAAGTTTTGGCGTACAAAAAGTTCAGCATTCAATCAAGTATGCAAAGCAACGTTAACATTACTATTTTCATAAAGTTGAGGATCTAGCGCATTCTAATTCTGCTAAATGGTGGAAGCAGATTAAACACCTTACAGGGCAAGCTTCTGATCAAGGTGAATAGTTTCATACATTTACTGGCCCTGACCAACCTGGCCAATTTCAGGATTGTTTGGCTCTGGCAAATGGGATTAATGACTTCTTTGTCAAGCTCCTGTCACGCACACTATTGTTCCACCCGTCTATTCGTGTAAGAATCCGAGGTCTCAAAGGATCTAAATAATCTGTCATCAAATAAAGCTCCAGGTCCTGATGGGATTTCTAATCAAATATTCAAAGTGTTCGACCCTGAGTTAGCACCGGTTATTTGTGCAATTTATAATCAGTTACTACAGGAGTCATTTGTTCCAGACTCGTTAAAACAGTCGATCGTAACACCAGTACCCAAGATTTCCCCGCCACAAGAGATTGACAATTATCTCCGTCCAATCTCCCTTAACAATAGTATCGCGAAGATTCTGGAGGGATTTACGAATAGGAGTCTTCTACTTCAGATGGGAGATAAGATTGATTCCAAACAATTTGCTAAGAAAGGTTATTCAACAACTCACGCCCTTGTTTATCTTCTACAAGCAATCCACGAGGCTATTGACCATGGAAATAACTGAGTTAGGATCTTCTTCCCGGACTTCACTAAGGGTTTCGACTTGATCGACCATCAGATCCTTATGGAGGAATTATCACAGCTCGGTGTGGACCCGGTGCTATTTAGTTGGATAAGATCTTTTTTTAACAAATAGAACTCAAGTCGTGCGCATCGGGAACGTTTTATCGGATTGGAAGCATACCCATGGAGGTATACCCTAAGGGACCAAGATAAGTTTCACCCTTTTCTAAGTCGTGACAAATAGACTCCCAAGGGATTGGTATGTGAGAGCAAAATACGTTGATGACACCACAGTTGTAGAAATTCTGCCTTGCAATAGTCCTTTTACAGTTGTGTGCTTGGTTGCCAAGCCTTTGAATGGGAGTGAGGCTAGGGGTGACCTTGTTATGATACAAACCTTGCTGTATTTCAATTGTAAATCACTTTGCTATCATGCTAACTAGATACAGGTCTCTATCACAACAAGGTCACCGTTAGCCTCACTCCAAATCAAAGGCTTGGCAACTAAGTACACAACTGTAAAAATGGCCTATTCGATAAGCCTTCTCGATTTGGCTGTTAGGGACACACACTCATTTTGTATTGACCGCAAGATGAAGTTAAACCCTCAGAAGTGTAAAGAAATGCTGATAAATTTTATGGAGTACCCGAACACTATTATTCCACCTATTTGTATTGGAAATCACCAGCTCGAACGTGTTTCATCTTTTAAATTACTTGGTGTTAAAACCAGAGACGATCTTAAATGGAATGACGACATAGACTATATCTATTGTAAGGCCGCCAAACGTTTATATACCATAAGAGTTCTTAAAAGAGCTCGTGTAGCGAATAGCGACATTGTAAATAGTTATAAGTGTTCTGTTAGATCTAATTTAGAATATGCCGTTGCTGCTTGGCAAGAAATCCCTGAATATTTCTTATCCAAATTAGAAACTATACAAAGGAGAGTCCTTAAGGTAGTTTTTCCGGGTGTTACTTATAAGGAAGCCCTGACCATATAAGGAAGCGCTGACCATATCTGGCCTCTCAAGCCTAGAAGTCAGGTAAGAAACATTAAGTAGGAAGTTCATTGCGACATAGAAACTCCGCCCTTAAGCTAATGTTTATAATGTTCCTTATAATCTTAGATCTGGGTGTGAAAAGTCCGTTAATTATTACGTAGACTATACATTACTATACTTAAATTAAATTTAACAGTTTTGTAGACAACTTGGTAGGGGGAATGGACAACTTGGTAGGGGGAATGGACACTCGTCACGATTTCCTCGTACACGGAAGATTGTAAGGAAGTCAAGGAGAAGACAGCATTTGGTTCCACAGTAACTATATTCTCAGTTCATGCCGACAATCTACATGACCTTAAGTCTACTCAAGTTCGTAATCGCAGTACGAAATCGAATAAAGTCACAAATTACACTAAGAAGCGAAATTACACAAATTACACAATTACAAATTACAAATTAGCACAAATTACACTAAGAAGCACGATTCTGTGCAGTAAGAGAATAGAGACTAAACACGCAGCTTTGAAATTAAAAAAAATTCTTATCTTAATTAAAGTAAAGCAACGTAGGAAAATAAAGTGCTGAATTAGTTAAACCTTATGCTTCTCTATGCGACGTTGGTGTTAAGTTCGGAAAAGAGTAACGTGGAAAATATCCTACGAGAGGAAAGCGAACTTACGAGCACAAACTCTGCTGCCAACTACCATGAGAATCAATTTTTAGATCATTGATATTTAACAATTATTCCACGAGCACGCGTTGGATATGAGATGATAGATAGCCAACGAGGAGCGTAGCGTCAAGTTGACTACAATCATCTCATATCCAACAAGCGCGAGTGGAATAATTGTTTTATTAAAAACGTTAAATTAAATTATTAAATTTTATTAAATTTTTAGCTCCCTTTTAATTCTAAGCTGACAGGTACGCTTACCATAATTGAGGATTATGGTATACTGGCTGATATACCATTATGGCTGAGCCAATAAAATGTCTTGAATTGCATTATCCAATGATCTAGTTTTTAATAATTATATTTATCTAAAGTTTCAATCATAGTAATAGTCAATATAAGTGCCGACATGCAGGTGTCCAATGAAGGCAAGTAAGAAGCAAAATTGATTACTAGACCTTTCAAAAACTAGTAGTACTGTGGCTGTTTTTTTTTTTATCTTTTCAAAACATCACAATGAAAGAACCTCAAATGAATTAAGAACGCCGAAAATAAAGAATTTTTCTCCAAATCAAACGAAAAATCACTAAATTTTCCCTTAACAGGGTGAACGAAGCTTGATCTGCAATGAAATGCAACAGTTTCCTGGATAATCTACAGTCAGTTAACTCACAAATCTCCCGTTTCTTGATCTTGGGACTGTAAGCGGAGTCACACAAACTTTGAGAACAAAGGTAAATACATTAAAATATTTATGAAATGTTACACCTACATTAATAAAAATCGCAAAAAGTTCTAAAATCAGATTTTTTGCTAATAACTACGGTTATGTCTTGCGAACATCAGCTCTAACTGACACTCATTTCAAGGCTGCAATTTCATTTCTGCATTGGCTTGTAAACAGAGATAAAAAAAAATTTCAGTCATTAACTTAAAATGTCTTTGGAGAAAATAAATTAAACCCTCTCTTTGCACTATACATATAAATTCGCTCAGCCCGTCTGAAACGATGTACAGGACACTGTCGAGGAATAAACAAATTTCTGTACTAAACTGTACCAAAGTGTCTTCAAAGTTTATATTGTTTTGAGAAGCAGCTAACTACCCTATCATTAAATCCAAGTAATGGTCAGTCTCCTTTTACAAACCGCACAACGAACACATCAAATTTGATCCTGGCAGCCGTGGTTACTGATATTTCTACGGACATCGGCACTTGACTGCCTGTTTCTTATTCGGAGCCAGCTTTTTAACAATTTTCTTTGTCCTTTAAGAAAAGAGAACGACTACTTTTGGCTATTGCTTTTCCCTTTGATCTGACAAAATTAGTAGCTTGACCCAATATTCCACTGGTTTTTACAACAGATTCAAACTCGTGTAAGTAATTTAAAAGGATGTATAAGTCACCATTAGCCTTCCTCTGTAGTAGATCATCAAAGATGTGTTCAGGGATAAGCAGATTTCCTCTTTTATAGTGTACATTTTCGTCTTCAAAGGATACCTTTCCTTCTATAACACGAGTTTTTAATACGAGTTGTCCATTAAGATTTACTTCCCCGTCCAGCTTGAATTGTTTCAAATTTGGATCAAGACAGCAGCGAAGTTGACCATCACGGAACTTGATGATTCTTACTCCAATAGAGAGGCAGCGAGCGTACTTGTCAGACAGGCTCCTTTCGATGTCATATGGAACTGTAAAGTCTGGGTCCTCTACTTGAAGGTCATCCGGGAGACGAGATATCTTCCCTCTACGAACGAAACTTCTTAGAACAACAACTGGAGGGGGTTCAGCCTGGAATTGTGACGCCCAGACCAGCTGCTGATAATTTTGAGCTCCCTTCTCAACAACGCTTTTTCCCTCTGAGAAATTCTTATGCGGATAGTGATATGAATCAGGGGACAATGACTCAGCGTTTACATCCCGTTCTTGAGAGATAAACTGTGTATTTTGTGCAGAAAATACCAGTGAAGGACTCAAAACTTGGTACAAAACTTCTGGATCCAAAGCCAGCTTTCCATTATTTACCTCCACAACAAAAGTTTTCTCTATTTCATTAACTCGCTGAATGAAGTGATTGTATGTACCATTGGCCGATGTTGACGGTACATTGCAAACCAAGATAATGACTTTTTCAACTATGGAAAAAGAAAGGGGACAGCAATTCGATGGGTTCGTGTAATATTTACTTTGTTAAGCTGCTCAGGTAAAACTTTTACCTGAGTAGCTAACATGTATGCTGGCGCGTAACAGAAATAAGCACCACCCACTTTGGTTCGGATTTTCTGGCTATGACCTCAAGTTAAGACTAATGTGTTCTTATCTCACACCGAATGAAGCGTTTTTTGATCTCAATCATATGAATTCGAACTTTTTTCCCCAACATAAGGCCGAGTTGTCCCAAGAAAATCTGCGCCAGCAACCCGGATCAACGGCCGTAGCGACAGAAAGTCTAGAAACAGCTAGCAAATAATTATTTGTTGTGATTTGAAAAACTAATTCACGTCCTACAGTCTAGCATGGGGCTTATAGCTACCTTAAATTTCTCTTCCTATCCCTGTGTTGATAGCAGTTCAGCGAATGAGTTAAGATGAACTATTGTAGCTTGAAGACAAAATGATTTCAACACAAAAGAGGAGCCGCACACGGTGTGATATCATTATATATATTTTTTCCCTTTTAAGGGTAGGGGGACGACCAAAACTTTTTTTATAAGCAACCGTTTTACAATTGAAGGTTGCCAAAAGGCTAAAGAGTTGACAACGAAAATATTCGGTGGCCCAAGATATGGTAGTGTGATAAAAGCGTGGTACTATGGAGTTTAGTGATGAAAATTGTGCCTGGAAGTTACCTTATTCATTTAATTCCAAGACTTACCGACTCTCTCCACTGAAGCTTTTACAAGTTGTAGTAACTCTTGATTGTCATAACCATACACCACTTTATAACCCTCCACCACCAACACAGAGGATCTGAAGCGATTATCCCTCAAAAATTCTTTAACCTCGGTGGTTTGAAGGTTGTGAAAAGTAGGTTCTTCAGACAAGTTAAAGATGGGATGAACCTTTTTTAAAACTTCTTGAACATCTTTCACGGACGCTTGTGACAGATTGCAGCCCAGAACTGCCAAATCTAAAGAGTGAAAAATGGGCGGTTGTACACTTACAGAGTTTCTTAAAGGAGAAGTAGGCTGACTGAGATCCCCATGAGAAGCTTGAACGTTCGAGGAGTATCCACAAATGTGCTAAAAATTCAACTATGGACATTTTGAAAACAACAGTAACCTGGCCTTACACCAAAAATCACAAAGTGAAAATCATTTTCTTAGACAGTTACATATTTTCCTGTATTTCTTAATTATTCTAACATATTTCCAAGAGATGAAAAGAAGGCGTTGGTTCCAACACTGATATTCAAGAACAAGCACACCGGGAAAACAAGATTGAAGGTAAAAAATGTTAATATATGCACGGCAGCTACGACAAGTGAATGTTTTCACAGGAAGCTTCCCCTACCGTTGTAGATCACCCGTACATACTTTAATTTCTTTGTACTTTCCATCTTGTTTTTCCAAACCTGCTTGTTCTGAACAGCAAATACACACTTGGCCTCGGACGGAATGACGTTCTAACGAAGCTTTGCTAAATGGTGGTGCGCAGGTAAGTTTTGGCTATTTTGCAGTGGATTTTCATAAAGATCGGAGCAATGTTTGGAGTCACGTAAAAACGTTTTGTAACTCGGCTTAGTGTAACGTATGTTTTTGGTTGATAAAAATATGTTCTTTTTTTAATGATCTTCTCTTTTAAGCACATTCGAAGACATATTTCGAAAGGTCACGTAATTGTTTGGAATCAAAAAACGCAGTCAGTATCGTAGTTTCATATATAGATTTTAAAGGTGGAGATGAAATTGGATGTTAGTAAAAGCGGAAATGAGGAATGAGGAGTGGAAAAATGAGATGGAAAATCGAAATTGGGAGAATAATTTTTCTCATCTATTCTCTATTGTGCGGTATTTGATACTTTTCAGCGGTGACTATCGATGTCCACGCTATTTTTTCAAAAGCATTCAGGGACAAAATTGAAGGAACGGAATAAATTGATGATAAAAAAACAAGTTACCCCTACTTGTTCCGTTATGAAACTATCTGAAGCTAAGCGAGTAACGAAATAATTTCTTTGAAATTGTAGCTCCCACTGCATGCCTATGTATTACGTTTAACATCTGGGCAATCTCCCACGTGCTTTCGAAGGAGAATTGTCATGTTCATTCTGGATTTTTGTTACTGTGAATTAATTGTTGTTGTTTAGAATACTAAGCTCGAACAGTCAAAAATCCTCCCTCACTGATTCAGTTTAGTTTTCGATTTGAAGCACGTATGTGTGAAGGTGTAGTCTGATCGTCCGGGTGAGTGTAGTCCTGAGAAGGACTGTTGTCGGTGGTAGTGACTGACGTTTCGACAACCTGTGCGGAAGTCATCATCAGAGTCAAGTGAATGATTGTTGTCAGTAGAATGTTCTTATTCCAGTTCGTGTGAAATGATCGGTTGGTTTTGCCGTGATGTTATTGGCTGTAAGACTCAAGTGACGTAAGTCGGTCGTGATTGGTCTGTTTCGATCTGTCGGTAAAGTTAGGTCGTTCTTTTTCGGTCGTTTGTGATGTTTATGTCGTGAATGAGTCGTTTGTATGGAGCGGGTAGTTGTTGACATCTGTTTAGGGGAGTCTGTTCTAAGTTAGTAAACCAGCTTTCCAGAGTCAGTCGTTGAAAATAGTCAGTGCTGTAGGTTAGGCATTGCGCAGAGTCCCAGTCAATGTTGTGGTTGGTAAGTCGATGGTGTTCAGCAATGTGATTGCTGACATCACCTTTCCTCGTCGCCCGTCTGTGTTCAGTCAGTCTTGTTGTGAGGTTTCTGCCAGTCTCACCGATGTAGGAGGCTTGGCAGTCGGAACAATTGATCTTATAAATCGTTCCCTGTCTGTTCCTCGGTTCGTCTTTGAGATAGTACCGTTGGGTGTCAAAGGCGTTCGTTTTCTTGAGTGTCAGTAGTTTACTGTTGAGTTTACGTTGAAGGGCAGGAGTTGGGTCACGTTTGAGTTCTTCGTAGGTTCGTTTGTCGTTAACTAGTGCGTCCATTTTGTCGTGATAGTCAGTTTTGTCCATAACAACAGTAACTCGTCCTTTGTCGGCTGGTAGGATGACTATGTTCTCGTCGTTTCTCAGTCGTTTCAGTGCGCGTTGTTCGTCTTTAGTCAAGTTGCTGTCATTTAGTGACGTTGATTGTATAGTGGAGGCAATTCTGCTTCTGATGTTATCCTTGGTCGGCTCAGATAGCTCTCGTTGCCGAGACAGGGCCGCCTCAACACTAGATACAATAGCCTCGGTCGGTATGCGTTTAGGTGTTACTGAGTGTTTTAGTCCGTGTGATAGTACCTGGTTTCGCTGGATAGCTTCTCGTCCTTAAGAGCAGCGACTTCCGTTGTAAAAACCACAGTGACTCAGCAAATCGCTAAAATATGATACGTTTTACCTCCGCTAATTCACAAGTTGGCGAATTAGACGTCCATTCTTCGTGAAATGGAAAACAGCGATGTCAACAAACGCGAATCGTTACCCTCCTCGCTGTTAAATTCCGAAGAAGTCAGGCGGGAGAGAGCGTTGTTCCTGAAGCGTTCTCGTTTGGTCACTCGGGCTCTCTCACTAAACCTCAAAACTAAATTGAAATACAGTTACTGGACTCGTCGAATGTGATCTTAGTGAAAGAAAAAGTTCGACCATTACAAAATTCTGAGGAAAGTCTTTTTTGTAACACAATAAGTTTATGGATGGCCCTGAACCCGAAGAAAAGACTGAACATGCCGAACGTTTCGACATTCTAGCCCAGCAGAGAATAAGCCTTTCTACAAGAATAAGCCTTTCTATTTGCGATCCAGTGACCAAGCTCAACGGGTGGGTGATCGAGGATTCTCAGAAAATGACTAGTCAAAGGTATCGTGGGTCCGTGGAGTCAAGTAGTCACCGATCGTCACGCCACTCAAGCAGCACTTACACTTCGAATGCGCAAGCCCGCAGATTAAAGCAGAAAAGGCTCAACTGGCTCTTTTGCTTGCGAAACAAGAGAAACAACGAAAGAATTGAAGAAGAAATGAAGATGTTAGAGCTGAAAGTAAAATAAAGTGAACTTGCTCTGTTGCAAGAAGCCAAGGAAGAAGAACTAAAGGCCATCATTAGGCTGGAATCCCTAAAGACCGAGGCAGACCACAAGCTCGCTGAAACTAGAAAGGCAGCTGCCATTATGGACTTAGAGATGAAACCTACTGAAGAAATGGAAAAGAGATTATCAGAAAATGAATCATCATCAGTGGAGTCAGCACCCTTCGACCGTGCACCACCCTAGTCTGGCAGAGATAGTAATCATCCGTTGATTACGTATACTGTGACGCATCCTGCACCCCAGTGACACCCCATGTATTGGCCATGCCTACACACCTCTCTGGTGTTCCATCCACAACCACTGTGAGCAGTCCGAGCCCACCTGTAATGAACGATCTCACAAGGTCGATCATGCCCATCCGTGTCCACCGGTAAGGTCAAGCCCATTTGTGCCAGCCTTTAGCAAACTACCTATCACGACCGCGAACACCTCTCATACTGGTGTTGCATCTGTCACTGTCAGCGGTCTGAGCCCACCCGTGACAAGCAGCCTTTCAGCCTCCGTTTGGCATCTCAATTGTAAATGCAACAACCGTACCTTCTGCTCACGGAGAGATCCTTTCAGTGGTTTCTCTAGCTATGAAAGACATTTCAACCACTCAAAAAAGGCTTATGTACAACCGAGGCCTTCCACCTTTTCAGTTTCAAAAATTTGGTGAGGTCCCAGCAGAGCTTCCCTAGTTTAAACGACGCTTGAAGTGCATTTTAATGTCACAAAAAGATATGGAGCACAATGACTCGTCTTCTACAGTTTCTAGATGGGGAGGCCAAACAGGCAGTGGCAGGCCTTGAGACAGCTACAAACGGAGTCCATCAAGCACTTATAATCCTTGAACAGAGGTACAGACGACTGTGTATGATTGTTAACTCTGTCATCAACAGCCTGGTAAAAGGTCCTCCCATATCCGCTGCCAGCCATAAGATCGACCGACGGAAATTTGCTGACAGTACTACGAGAGCCCCTACAACACTAACATCCATGAACTATTTGTCGCAGGTCAACCGAGGATTTATTGTCAGTATGACAGAACGACAACCAAAGCCACTTCAGGACAAGTTTGCTACTCTAGCTTGTGACTTGGAAACAAAGGGCCAACATTTCCCAACTCTGACGGATTTTGTTGGTTTTGTGAACAAGCATGCAAACATTCCTAGCCATCCTGTCAGTGGCAAATCCCAGCAGTTCAACTACAACAGCAATTCCAAGAACAAAAGGCTACCACCCAATGAGAAAATTCACATTCCTAAATACACAATGAGTATCAACGATGGTGGGAGGCACCACCTAAGCAGCCTTCGATGAAAGGCAAAGACAAAGCGAATGACTGTCGCTACTGTGGTCAAGCACATCCACTCTACCGACGTGAGACATTCAAGGCGACGAAACCAAGAGAACGGATATCCTTTGTCTCTTCAAAGCAGCTGTGTCCTAACTGCCTCAAAGGTACCAAACACTCAACAGATATCTATCCAAGCCTGTTCGCATGTCAAGTTGAAGGATGTAACGCCTTCCACCCCTCACAGCCTCAGCAGAGACCTGAAAATTCTGCTTCGGAAGACCAAGCTACAGGAGTTGATGCCACAGCCTCAATGCGTGTCTGTGCCACTGCTGGGGGAGAGGGTTCAGAAACAGACCTCTTACAAGTTGTACCATTGCAGGTAGTTAGCAGTAGTGGGTTGACTGTTACCTCTGGATTCCGTATCTGAAGTCATCCTTGTGGATCCGTCATTGGTCTGCTCCCTGGGACTCTGTGGCCGACCCGACCGTTTGGTCCTATCAACTGTGAGCAATTGCAGCGACCTTCAAAGAGGAGAAAGAGTTCATCTTACAAATCAATCCCTTATCGAAGAACAGCCACAATAACTTCAGCTTAAGGGATTTTGGTGGGGGAAAGAGCTTAACATAGCGTTGCGCCACCAA